GGGGCTGGTGCCAGTGAGGAAGTGATTTCCCCTGGCCCCAGTGAACTGTGGGCTCACACAAATATAGGACAGGACAGCCTACAGGGCCTGTGAAATAGGGTTTCTTTCACCACTTTCTGGATAGTTCCAGGGCCTACTTTTAGACTTCTGACTCAGATTAGAGAACAGAAAGAAAACCAGCATTTGAATTCTCTCTTTGTGTGTATGTCTGTCTCTCTCCATGGAGACTGAGAGACCAGAGTGCCAGAGAGACCAGAGTGATTTGGATAAGGGCAAGGAGTGGGTGGAAGGCCCACGAGGTAGGGNGGAGAGGGAGAAGAGGAGGATAGCAGAAAACAAGTTTGCTTTGGAACAACCCACTCATGCCCTCGAACCTTGAGGATGCGGGACAGTGAGCCACAGTGAGCCGGGTTTGGCCAACGTGACTGCAGACCCCTCGCTGTGGTCTGGAGCCAATCAAGCTGGTGTCCTGCATCGGTGTGTGCTTGCTCATTTCAGATGGGAGAAACTGAGTCAGCRTCAAGTATGCATCTCTGGGGCACGACTCAGGCCAAATCGTAACAGCTAAAATCAGTGGGAAAGAAGCGTTCGTAGGCCTTTTGCATTATTGATTTATTGTATTGGTTCTGGAAGTTTTCCAAGAAGTCCAGGATTTCATGTGGGGGACAGTATCCACTCTGCCTTCCTTCCGGTTGCATAAAATATTTACAAGAGTTTTAATTTGCATAATGGAGAAGGCCCTAGACATAGGCAGTTCCACTTTGGAGTGGACTGCCGGCCCTGGTGAGGCGTTCAGAAGTTCTGCTGGGATAGAAAATTTATAATAAAACCATTCAAGAACAGAGGGAAGGAAGGAGCAGAAACCAAAAAATGGCAAATAGGGGGCAACCTCAGGAATCTGGCATCACATGTGTCCTCGAGACCTGTCACTGAACGCAACGCGTACCCTCCAAGCTTGGGCAATGCACAGGCTGAGCCCCTTGACCGTGGACTCATCAGAGAGGCGTCCCTGCCACCTCCCACATCCTCACTGACCCTGTTGTCTGTGACTCTCCCCCTGTTTCACCTGTATTTTATATTTATTGATGCCTTCCTCTGCAGATTCATTTCTTTGTACCTAATAAACTAACTTTAATAAGTGGAAATGCTTCTGAGGTCATTTCCTAGTGAAAACCCATCTCTGGTCACCAGGACTGATCTAAGCCAATTTTTTAATGGTAACATATTTATGAGATACTGTGTGATATTTTGAGACGTACGATGTGTAATGATCAAATTTGAGTACCAAGGCCAAACATTTTTGGGGGGCACCAGGGATTGAACTCAGGAGCAGTCAACCACTGAGCCACATCCCCAGCCCTATTTTATATTTTAAGACAGGRCCTCACTGAGTTGCTTAGCTTTTGCTGAGGCTGGCTTTGAACTTGCAACCCTCCCACCCCAACCTCCCAAGTCGCTGGGATTACAGGCYTGCACCACCGTGCYTGGGAAAGCCAAGAATTAGAAGTTTAAGGATTGGAAGGGCTTCTGAGAAGGCCACAACAAAATGGATGTTTACATGGACCTCGTGCTTGCTATAATATACAGTGATGGAAACAGAGCCTTTCTTCTTTGAGCTAATTTACTGAGTGTTTGGTTAAACCAAGCCTAGGGGTTGGGGGGTACTTTTCAGGTGTGTCTTTCAAAGTAGCTAAAATTAGCCAAGTGTGGTGATACACACCTGTAATCCCAGCAACTGGGGAGCTAAGGCAGAAGGATCCCAAGTTCAAGGCCAACCTCAGCAACTTAGTGAGGCTCTAAGCAACTCAGCAAGATCCTGTCTCAAAATTAAAAAATAAAAAGGCTGGGGATGTAGCTCAGTGGTCAAGTGCTCCTGGGTTAAATCCCCAGTACCTAATAATAATAATAATAATAATAATAATAATGCAGATGAGCAGAGTGTATTGTTCATAAATTCTGCTAAATTGTGTTAAAATGGAAAAAAACTTTCAGCCTAAAATGCACTTGGACCCCCACTTCCTTAATTCAGCAAACCCCTCCAAAGAGCCTCCTGTGTGAAGCAAAACCATCTCCGTCTTCATTAAGAGTGTTTTAGGTAGACTCTGAAGCCTGCTCTGGGGGAGATGTGGCTTATCTGCTAGGTGAGCTGGCTCAGAGTGACAGCTTAGAAAACACACACAGATTTGAGYCTCTATCRTCTCGTATGARTTTTGGAAAGTAAATTACTTGGCCTGTGCTTTAGTTGCATTACATGGATGTGTACCTGGGCATATAGAGATGAAGTCACATGAGCAGGCCCTGACCCTTTGGTCACTTCAGTCAGGCAAGGGCACACCCCACCCTCTGAGGAGCCACCAGTTCGCGTATTTCATGCTCAGTCACAAACAGGGCTCTGCTGGCTGCATCCCAGTTGCTCCCTTTAGTCGCTGGCTGAGCTGCTGGGACCACGCTTCGCTAGCTGTGCTGTGGGATAACAAAGCAGGAGGGGTAATTAAAATTCATAGATGTTCCAAAAATAAATCTCATCCTGAAACTAATTTGAAAGCTAGCTACTACATGCTTTGCATCCTAATGAGTTAAGGAGCTGACTTTTTTTTTTTTCCTGCTGCCATATTGATGGAGGTACCAATAAGCTCTTTTGTGACCAAAAAAGGCCAGTTTGAGTGGGGAAGAAGAGCAAGGGCCCAGGATAATCTACAAAGTAGGCGATGAATTCTAAAGTCCAGGCAGGTGGTAAAGGAGCTGAGCTGTACGTTGAAGGACCTTCACACGGAGRCACTTCTTAGGAAATTAAGAATGGGAGAGGTGAGAGGAACAACTTCATGAGAAGAGCTGTAGATTCCAGAAGCTCTTCTAGGAGTTCCAGATTTTCTTCCAGAATTTCTAGGAGTTGCAGAATCTTAGGCTGTGCCCCAGAAGGCTTGGCATCTTTCATGAACCCATTCTGTCATGGGTTGAATTATGTCCCCACAAAATTGATATATAGAAGTCCTTACCTCCAGTATATCTCAGGATGGTACCTTATTTGGAAATAGGATCACTGAAGATATAATTGTTTTAAATKAAGTCATACTGAAGTGGGCCCTAAGTTCAATAGGGCTGGTTTTCTTATAAAAAGAGAAAATTGGGCATTGCCATACACACGGGGATAAGGTGGTAGAAGAGGAAAGCAGAGGTTGGGATGATGCTAAAGATTTCCAGCAAAGCACCAGAAGCTGGTCAGGAGACATGGAACAGATTGCCTCTCACAGTCCTCAGATGGAACCAGCCCCACAGACACTATGATCTTGCACATCACATCTAGGCTCCAAAGCCATGGAATAATAAATTTCTCCTGCTTATACCATCCAGTCTGTGGTACTTTGTTATTGCAACCCTACAAACTCATACCTACTTTTGGAGCTTTTCAGAAGTGTGTTACTTTAATGAAAAAAAAAAGTGAGAATAAAATTTAAAGCAGCAATTCCTTATGTCAATGGAGCAGTCGTCTAATCTGATCTTGACTCGGGTCACTTGTTGCAGGTGGCTTAGTCCTATTTCCTGAACCAGGCAATCAATTTTGCATGCCATAAGAGTGGAGAGGACTTTTTTCTTAAGAGACATCCTTGTGTCATGGAGCTGCTACACGTTTAGAAGGAGGAGACTCAGCATAGATAGCATCAGCCATTCTGATGATCTAGACTCTAGACTTCCAATTCTAGTTCTTTCTTTTTTTCTTTCTTTCTTTTTTAAATTGTGGTTAAATACACAACATAAAATTTGCCATCTTAATTGTTTTTAGTGTCCAGTTTAACTGGACAAGGGCATCATAYTGTTAAGCAGCCACCACCACCATCCAGCTCCAGAACTCTTCATCTTGTAGAACTTCAGCTCTGTACCCATCAAACAACAATCCTCTATTTCTCCCTCCTCCCAACCCGTGGCAACCACTCTTCCTCTTCYTTCTCCTAGATTTGACAACTCTGGGTACTTCACATAAATAGAATTGTACACTTCCTCCTGTAACTTGTTTATTTTACTCAGCATAACGTCCTGAATGTTCATACATGTGGTGGCATGGGTCAGAATTTCCTTCCCTTAAACYGGTCAGCGTCACTCCAAGTGAATTTTGGCTGACTAAATAAAGACACAGACATAGAAAAGTACTTTTTTGGGTTCAATGACCACTTCTCAGCCACAGCTCCTACAGGAGGGGCAAGGTAGGCAAGAAAGAGGAGGAGCACACCTGGAACCCGGACTTTATTGGGGAGAAGCCACTCAAATGAGGCAAGGGTAGGGTTACAAGAAACAAGTGGGTGTAATCCAACCCCATTGGGTGATGCCCACTYCTGGAGCTGCACATCTCTTATCTGAGTGGAGGTAGGGTCCAAACGCATTGCAGTGGGTGCAATACCTGTTCAGTACCTMCTCACTCAGGACTTAAGGTGTGTACCTAGCTCCTGTCCAGAGCGACTCCCCRAAAGTATGCTTACACTACATTTTGTTTATCCATCCATACATCTATGGATACTTGTCTACACATTTTGGCTATTGTAAATAATGCTACTATGAACCTGTAAGTACAAATATATCTTTTGGGCCCTGCTTTCCATTCTTTTGTAAAGATACTTAGAAGTGGAATCACTGGGTCACATGGTAGCCCTTTTTTATAACATTTTTTTAGCAACCTCGATACTATTTTGCACAATGGATGTGCCATCTTACATTCCCATCAGTAGTCTACAAGGGTTCCGGTGACTACTTTTTGTTTTGCTTTGAGTTGCAATCCTGGTGGGTGTGACTCGATTTCTCATTGTAGTTTTGTGTTTACTTTTAAAGAGTGAATTTACCCAAAGAATGGTACCTAATGCAGGAAAATGCTGAGTTGATTGTTTTTTTCTGAAGATTTCCATCAGAAAACACATCCCCTTCCACACATTTCCTGTGTGGTGACTGATGCCAGCATCTTTTCATGAAACACAAGACAGAAGAGGCCACTGGACATTAACTTCAGTATTTTTTATTGTATGCTTGATGCATTTAGAGACAATCCCAAGGGCAAGCACTGGATAAAGGGACATTACCTGGTTTGTAGATAGTTGTACAAAAGACTGTTAAGACTACATGGTCAGTTCCCACTGCAGGAAACGAAGACTTTCTTTTTTATAATTCGCTGCCAGTAGCATTTTCCAGCTAATACATTTAAACTCTCACAACATTATTGCAAACATGTATATATTGGTTCCCACAAGAATTCTGCATGTGACATTTCAAGATGTATGGTGTCAATCAGATAAAGCACATTTTGACAAAAACCTAAGGAGGGCAGCAGGGACTTAAGACTGCGTGGAATGAAATGCCACAGCTACAGGAAGCATACAGTAGAACTGGGACAGCCAGGCATGTGACCTGCCACTCCTCCCCCTCCCAGAGAGCATGCCCAGTGAGGTGGGTCCCTTCGCTTTCTTCTCCCTGTGCTTCCTAAAGCTAAGAGCTCAGTTGAAGACCTCTCCAATAAAGGATGGGTGGGTCTCCAATCAGGAATGCAATTAGAGACCTCATGACAGACACAGGGTCCCATCTGTCTTCCCTGCTATCAGCCAGAGCTATGTGTCACCTGTACGGARGTGAGATGACATCTCTTAGGATGCACAGTCATTTGCTTAGTCAACAATTACTTTTTAGACCTAATGATTCATCCAATAGTAAAGGAACTTCGTTGCTAAGATCTAAGAGGCATATACCGGCTCTGTTAGCTTGTAGGGTGGCTCCTAATAATAACATTAGGTCTTACATTACAGGGCACTAATGAATCTCCATAATTTTGATTATGTCCTTATTCTACCTAAGGTTCAAGCCACCTCCAAAAATGAAAGCACTATTATTTCTGCTTTGCTAATTTACTTTCACTGGAGTGTCTGCCCTTGATCTGAGGGCCGTCTTCACTTATGGTAAATCCCACCTAATAGACAAGACTAACTAGCTTATGATAGGTTACAGGGGAGGTGGGGGAGAGATTCTGTCCTTTATGGCCATGACTTCTTTCTGCACAAAGCATGCACTGGCACCCCACCTTCTTAATAGATATWCAAATGGTATTTAGGAAGCTATTTACACATGGTGACCTTTAAACATTAGTTTCATGTTTCATCTTGAATATTCATTTTCCCTATATAGCCTTCAGAAAAGCAATCCCTGGAAAAGAAATTATCCATGTAATAAGCATTCTTCCAAAGCAAAATCTGTTAGGAGCATTTAAAAGCAAACATTCCCCCTACAACAACCTACTCAAAATTCAACAACATATTTCTGACTGTTGTCACTAAACGTGAGTACAGCTACATCAGCAGACTGCTTGCTCTCTGTAGTCTTTCCCCACCCTTCCCAAATGCACAAAGAAACCTGAGCACTGCTATTCAGGTTTGACTGTACACAGACCCCCACCTCCATTGCTTGCTGGGAGGCACTAGGCCCACACAGAGGGCAGGCACACCCTCTAGCGGTAAGACATCGACATTACAGCTGTGACTGATGTACAGTTGGCCCTTTCCTGCCTGCAATGTTGGCCCTTTCCTGCACCCATTAGGTCATGATCTCCYAGGGCACAGGAAGTAGCTACTGTGTTTCCCACTGCACAACTGGCTGGGTAAAGACAACGAGTTGCTACGGTCATCTGTGACCTGGGCCAYAGTAATAAAAGCAGGCCTTGGTGTGATTTATTTGCACTAGACTTCAGATCAAATCCTGTATTACCCTGACTATCTCAGACAGGTCAGGTCTGATAAAATGATTCCTAACCTGTGCAGGTGAGACCATGCATTGAAAGAGAGGATTTCTGCAACACCTCGTTTTAAATAACCACTCCTCAGGTAGACTTTGGGAGGTAAGTACCTACATCATTCTCGAACTTCATCCTTTTCCTCCTTAGCAGCTTCTAGAATGGCCACTCCACCTAAGAGGAGATCCTCAACTCATCAGCAGTGAAAGCTCAGGTCAAACCTACACTACAGGCTGCCACTACTGGCTGCCATAAACTTGGTCAGCTGAAATAGTCTTCCCATCTGTACTTAGTGATTTCACATACAGAATTTACAAAACTGCTGAATAGAAAGTTCTTGGCAAATCTATACATACACGCTTGAAGGAGAGTTGTAGAAAGAAAATATTCATTCCCATAAAATTTCTGAGGCTGGGGACAAGGCTCRGTGGTAGAGAGCATTTGAGAGTGCTTGCCTCGCATACTCAAGGCTGTGGGTTTCATCCCCAGAACAACAACAAAAAAAAAAAAAAAAGGAAAAGAAAAAGAAAAACGTTAAAAAAATCTCAGATCCTTGGTATTCCACCCACATAATGAGTGGCTGTGTCCCTTTCAGCTCTCATGGGCTATGACATAGCTRCTGAGGAGTGACTACCCCTGAGCCATTTCCAAGTCTACTGATCCAATATTTCCTTTTGCTAGAATCATGTCAAGGATGATGAAGCATCATTAGACCCAAAGAGCACTCTCCCGCTAGCTGCTCTATTAACAGACACTCCTATCAGTCATCTCTGCCACTTTGCCATTGCAGGAGTTGGGAGAGAGTTCCATAGATGAAGGCAAGCCCCACCACTTCCCGCCCACTTCCACTACCAGTCTGGAAGCAGCTGCAGGGCATGAGGACTAAGGGGAAAGATCCAGGCGGTCAGCTGCTTCAGACACCCAAGTGTGGGTTCTGACAGGCTGGGCAGGAGGGGTGGAGTTGGACTGTGACCCCACAGAGATGTCCTCTTGTATCTGTCTGTCACCTTCTTGCCCTCTGAATGCCCAGTATGGAGCTCACCTGGTCTTCCTTGCCTACTTTTCTATGCTCTACTAGTGGGTCAAATCCTTTATGTGGATATGATATTGGAAGCAGATCAGCTGGAGTCTCTCTGCTGAGATAAAGTAGCGACTGCTCGAATCTCARCAACTTCAACTGCAATCTAAACAGTCAAGATTTTTTTTTTCCTTTTCTTTCCGTCATTAGCTGAGAGTCACAGTTGCATGGGGTGGGACTAYGCCTCAGGGCCACTGAATGAATCCTAGATTAGATGCTGGTCACTAGACCAGGMGTCATCCCTACCCAAGGCCCCATCTACTTGGTAGGTGCACTGCTCTGTAGGGATAGCAGCATGTCTTTTGGGAGACCCACTTGGCGATCCTGGGAGGTCACTGGCACGGCTCCCTGAATCTCTAAGGTGTGTAGGTTCTGGCTAACAGTGCTTCCCAGCTCTCCCGCATATGAAGCAGGGTTGGGTCCACCACACACACGAGTACAGYGCATGGAAATCAGGTCCTTGGAGATCATGGACACTAGGACACAGATGGGGCGGCTGAGAGCCCCTTTATTCCCTCCCATTGGCTTCGTTCCCCAGGGAACACCTGTGGAAACTGCAGTGCCCACAGGCATGCGCCCAGGTGAAGAGCAGCTGGGGAGGTGCCCCCTGCCCTCCACACACACAGGAGCCTGTGTGCGCCAACAAACGCCTTTTGTTAACCTGGAAGAAACGGGTACTGAAAGACTGAGACTTCAAAAGAGCTTGCTTTTCCCACCAACTCAACAAGGCGKAGCCTGTCTTTCAAGCCTCCATGAACTCTAGTCCTGCCAGAGGCTAATGTGTCCATTGTCACTGAAATACAAGAATAGCAGCTTCAGATCCACAATTTGTCACACAACTGAACGGGAGAGGCCAGAGGGATACGTGTTACATAGCAAAGGAAGGGGACCTACAMGGCTGAGAAAGGGACATTTAGAGACACAAGGTAACAGTTGGATCTGGCTTCAGAAAAGGAGACCACCTGATAACTTTTCTCATTTTACTCAAACAGGAGAATGGTTTGTTTTGCTGGTCATTTAGTCAGGTGGGAAGTTTTAAATAAGAAGGGGAAAGGGAATGCTCACTTCACTTAAAGAACTTAATCTCCGTGTCGACACAGTCATAGAAAAGGTCCCCCACCTCGGCGGGGTCTGGGGGCTCAGGGCTGCTCAGGATTTCTTCCATGGCTTCCAGGCCTTGCTTCTCCAGCTCCATCATGGTCTTCTTCAGCACGCGGCCCTGCTCCTGAGGAAGGACACGGCCTTTGCACARTCAGCACAACAGTGGGATTGTGGCTGTGGACACTGAGCCTCGGGGGTTCCGCTGGCTTCYTGCTCACAGTCCCATCCACCCACTCTGATCTGTTCCCAAACCACTGCCACGAGGGCCGTTCTAGAATGTGGCTGCTTCAGGATAAAATCCAGACTCCTAAGCGGCATTCAGGGAAGGCCCTGATGAGAAGAAAGGTCTTGTGGGCCTGACCTCTTGCCTCACTCTTCCTCTTCTTCAGCCAGACTGAATTAGCTGCACTCCTCCATCCTCATGATACTTTCCCCCACTGTACAGTGACTCTTCCCTCTAGTAGGTCCTTCCCTATGTCAACACTTGGGCAACTTGTGCCCATATTCAGATCTCCTTGGAAGGCCTTCCCTCTGGACCCCCACTGGACAATGCCTCTACTTTTACCATGGTTCCATCTTGTGATGGCCTGCCCACATGGCTATGTCACCCATTAGGTCATGATCTCCTAGGGCACAGGAATTGGACTTAATGGTGCCACCCAATGGCTGGGACATARTAGGTGTACTGCAAAGATGTTTGCTGAATGCTCAATGAATGTTTATCTCCTGGGCACTCTTTTTAGGAGATGGTAAGAGCTCTTCCTCTAAGAAGGACCTGCTCATTTATAGTGGGTGACACTGAAGGCTTTCATTTACCCAATTAGTCCCAGAACTGAGAAGCCACTCTCCTTACTCATCCACTACTTCCTGATTCAACCCAAGAGTCATTTCTAAATTTCAAAACCCACCGATCCCATGGGCTCTTTCTACCCCTACATTCTCATTGCTTGATACCCACAAAACCAGACACCAGGAGGTRACAGTTTGAGTCTACCTGGGGCTTTCTGTCATCCACCTAGAAAATAAGCCCTGTCAGAAACTTTATTAACCAAGCTTCGATCATAGAAGACAGTTTGACTTTGAAAAAGTACTCTTAAAAAAAAATAAAAAATGGGAACTCAGCCRGGCATGGTGACACACGTGTGCCTGAAATCCCAGTGGCTTGGGAGGCTGCATCAGGAGGATCAGAGGTTCAAAGACAGCCTCAGCAATTTAGTGAAGTCCTAAGCAACTCAGTGAGAACCTGACTCTAAATTTAAAAGGGGAGGGGGACTGGGGATGTGGTTCAGTGGTTAAGTGCCCCTGGGTTCAATCCCTGGTACAAAAAAAAAAAAAAAAGAAAGAAAGAAAAACTGGGAATGTGAGACTCTTTTTCTAAATGATATCGGTAGTATGGAAAAATATGCTTAACATAAAATTTGGCACATGATGGTTGTGCAACCACCACCACCATCCATTTCCAGAGCATTTTTGGAGAATTACTTTTTGGAAATAGCATATAGATTGCATCTTTAAATAAAGCTCTGCCAATCAAGTATAGCTTCTTAGCCCTAAAAGATTGCAAAGAATTTTTAGAAAGCACAGAAGCAGGTCTCCCTTCTAGAACTGCACATCTCTATTCCTCCTAAGTCAACAGTAAATCAGAGAGAGCCTGGCCCATTGAGTTCCAGAACTTGAGAAGTAAAGGCTTTGTTTTACTTGGTTTCAGGAGATTGGGGAGGAAAAGGAGCACCCGCATTCTAGGAAGGCCTGGGGAACCTGGCTTCCCGGGAGGAGACTGGCCAAGAGGAGAGGAGGCTAACGGACTCCCTGACTCCTTCCTCATGGACCTCACTACCCTCCCTGGACCCTCACCCAGGCTCACCTGGTCACTCTCGATGACAGCACGTGCCCACTCGTGGGCCTTGTACAGCTCATGYCGGCGGTCTGGTTTCTCCTGGAACCGAGGCTCCTTTTTAGCAGGGTCATCGTCCCCAAAACAGGGAGACTGTGCTTTGGGAACGAGTTTTACATCATCAACAAAGATGAAAGGCTTGAATATGGACCTGGAAAGAAAGGACAGTCAGACTGAGCATAGGGTGTGAGGACACCCAGAGACTGTCTCTGTATTCAGCAATCATTTTCAGAGCCAACTCATGGCAGGTGGGTGCGTGCCAAGAGAAACACATCGCATGTTTTAGTAACTATTTTAATAAAACTAACAGCCATTTACAAGCTGCAAATTCTTCTATTTACAGTGAGGAGACACCGAAACAGAATTTTTCTGTCCTGGAAAGAGCATCCGAGAGGACTCTTTTAAGTTGTATAAAGTGAGGCAAAAAAGACGCATGGTGTTCTGGGAAAAGGATGGAATGGATGGTCAATTTTGAGATGAAAGGTCTACCCCTTTCTCTCCTGGAAAGGAAGGGTCTTTTGGTTTTAAGATTCTCATTGGAAAATCTTTGTAAGATCTCTCATAGCCTCAAGGAGGGGACAGATTAAGACAGATGAAGCAGAAGTTCCCAGAGACCCCAGAGGGGACACCTGCAGAGAAGCAGAAATCTGGCTGTGTGAAAGCAGGTGCTGGGCAGAGTGAGGGGCCGATGCCCCTTTATTCTTTGATCCAGCTCTTCTGGCAGGACTGATGTCTGGCAGGCAGGCATGTGTGAATATCCTTATGCATGGCTTGCACACATCATCATCACACACACACACACACACCCCAAGAGAGCCATGCACGTCAAGAGCTGTGGCCTGGAATTCCAGGCCAGTGTCACAGCTGATGAACACTGGGAAGGACACTTATTCTCCCCCCTCCGCACCCGGAGAAAACACTGCTGGGCAGAGGGGCACTCCTGGTAGGTATGGGCACTGCTGGACCTGTGGTCTGATGTTAGCCAAGCCATGGGGCAGCGCCTGCAATAATGATAGGAGAGCGTGAGCCACGTGCACATCTCATGTGTTTTCAATTTATCAGATTTGGACTTTACTTTGCCCTTCCATGGCTGCACCCTGTTCCACTCCAAGGAGACTCCATTGGGTTAAAAGTGAGCTTGGATGCTGACTTTTTCAGCCCAGAGGTGTTAAGATGTGAAGCAGCCAGAGCGACCTTGCCATTGTGCCCTGAAACTACATTCATGTGAACCATGATCTGAAAAGGACTGGTGATCAGTCACCCTTGCTCCCCYAGCTGTGTCCTTGGACTTACAGCATCAGCATCCCTGCCCTGTCCTGTCCTGCTGAAGCAGAATCTGCATTTTTAACAAGATCCCGGGGGATTCATAACATCTGGGTCTGAGAAGCACAGTCGTAGAGAACAGTAGTGGGAAATAACCTCTCTGTTAGTTTCCTGAGGTGATCACAGGAAAGGGCTTGAGAGAGCACTGACACTGGTTACAGCATCTAATTTAACCTGCATGTCAAAGGCAATGAGAATTTGCACCCCACGGTGATGGAGTGAGTGGTACTAATTAAGGATGCATGTGGGGGACTCTGCCATCCTCTGCAGGTGATACATATCATTCATATGGGAGACTGGTCCCCTCCTCWGCCCTACTGCTGGGGAACACAAGGCGTGCCAACCTGGGCGGAATCAAGGCATATCCCTCCTTAGCCACCATCAAAGGAAGTCGCCCAAGACATAGGGAAGCTACTTACACAGAGGGAAGACACACTTCCACCCCCTACAGCTTCTTGGAAACGGATCGTTCCTTTTCCCTTCTACTGACTGTTGGATATGAAAAATGAATTAATACAAAACTTCAAACTGTCAAAACCAATTCTGATTACCTAGGAAGTGGGAGAGAAAGAGTGTGCCCAGCACAGAAGGGCATCCAGAGCTGTCTCTGGGTCCCTCTGGTCTCCAATGACACAACTACATCCCAACCAGCAAGAGTCCTATCAGATCCTGCAGGACCAGACAGTACCAGGGCGTTCTGAGGGGTTCCTGATTTTTCCCAGTGCTGGGGACYGAACCCAGRGCCTCATGCTCACTAGACACACACTCTGCCAATGAGCCCAGCCCTGCCAAGAGTGTTCCGAAAAGCCAGTGTACATCCTACAGGAGTTGCCACACAATGGCCGGCAGGCTCTGTGACTAACATAGAGACTCTCTGCTGACAGGGGCCTGAAGGTCCCAAGCCCACTCCTCAGTCCACACCTACTGGGTCACAGGGCTCTGCATTGGGTAGAGCCGGTGACAGCATGGCTCCCCATGGTGTGAGGCTCTGTAGTGGGACTGGTGCAGGCTCCAGCATCAGCAGCCAAGGGAGTTGCAGGCTCCAGCAGAGCCCACTGCACCCTGGCTACAAGGGGGGCCCTTGGAGAGGAGGCCCGTCTCCCAGCCCCAGGCCACAATGATATTCACCTGCTGCTTCTTACAGGCTCACACTGCACCTTTGTTCTCTAGCACTTAAAGCTGGAGTGGAGTAACCTCCTCATTGGGAAACCTGCCTTTATATTTCTGGAACCTRAGTGCCTTGCTCACCAGGTATCTCTTCTGATACACTGACCCCAAGGGAGAACCTTGCCCGCCAGAGGGGCTGGAAAGAGACATCTTGGCAGCACCTRCTGGGCTGAGTTGCCTTGTGACAGGTGGGACAAAGAACAGCCTGGGACTGGGACTGGGGGCATGAGTACTCTCTCTGCCTCTGACCAGCTGGGGGCTGATGTTTTCCCTTTCTTGGGCTCACCTGGACTAAAGTGGTCCCTTCCAGCTTCTAAAGCTGTCTTGCCATTTCTATGTCTTTGTCCTGAGACCTGTGAACTTGTAACTCCACTTCAACCCACAGTCACAGTCTTCTGCACCCAATATATAGGACACTGGTAGTAAAGAATGCTCTGTTTGATATAACTTCAAACCCAGTCGAAGCCCCCTGGAATATGGAGATTAGTTTAATTCATGACAGTGTCTAGCAGCTTTTCTAAAATAAGAGGTACTGTATGTTCAGACCTCCCACCTATCGGTTTGGTCTTAAAAATAAAAATATGAGCAGGTGCCCATAATATTTTAAGCAGCCTAAGATTTCCAAAAACATCTTTCCATACTCTCGTGAGGAAGTCAGCATCTTCGACTGCTAAAAACACAAAGCATAAATTCGTCAAGGTGTTTAAAGGAAGAATTTTTGAGATTCAATAAATTATATAAATAATAAAAATTTTAAAATAAAATTATTTATAGAATAAGAAATATAATTATTGTTGATAATACACTGCAATAATATTAATATTAATTTAAATGAGAATTTGGAAATTATCTATAATTCAAGTTTGATCATTTGTACCTATGTACTATATCCCAAAAAAGGGGAACCTAGTTACCTCGGTAGCTCCAAATATTGTGACTTCTTACCAATCCTTATTGAAAATTTACATTGAAAAATCTAAATTGATGGGCTGGGGTTGTGGCTCAGTGGAGAGCACATGCCTAGCACCTGTGAGGCACTGGATTTGATCCTCAGCATTGAATTAAAAAATAAACAAGTAAATCAAGTTATATAAAAAAGACACCATTAATAAAATTTTTTAAAAATCCAAATGGATAAGGAGCTACACTGGCATGTTCCCATATTTGAACCTCAGATGGCAGCCTCTTCAATACCACTTGAAGAAATGTATGGCAACTGATAGCCCAGAAATATTAAATGACTTGACTTATCCAACTAGTGTCACATATCCAAATAGTGTCAAAGCTGAAACTGGGTGGTGACCACTCCTCTCCACCACCTTTCCAGGAGGAGGCTCACTTCATCGTGTATGTGGAGTGACATAGAGTGTGTCCTGTAGTTGGCTCTAAGTGGGACATAGCAGAGAGGCTCCAGACAGTCCAGGGCTGGATTCTGAGGATGACCTTCAGAAAAATCACCTAGACAGAACTCACTGTGGTCATTCAGCCCCTCCACAGTATGACATGAATATAAGATGTTAGGTCCAAAGGGAGGAAGTGCTTCCAATGGCCAAGGGCATCACAGGGYCAGAAGAGTACTTTAAGAGACTCTACTGAGGGGGCTGGGCTGTAGCTCAGTGGTAGAGCACTTGCCTAGCATGCATGAGGCACTGGGTTTGACCCTCAGCACCACATAAAAATAAACAAATAAAATAAAAAGACTCTACTGAGGGACACTGAAGCCAACAAGACCATGAACAACACTACAGGGAGCCATGTCCTTGCCACCTTCAGCTCTCAACGAGACAGGTCTAAGGTCTGAGGCACACAGCCTCATGACACACGGCACAGCTTGGTCTTCCAAGATCTGACTCAGAGACGTGCAGGAAGTTTAGCCTTGAGTGACACTTTGAACACAGCACGAAACAGTTCCACTGGTAGCACCTTTGCCTTATCTGCCCATTTTTCTTTCCAGAACCTTCTGGTAGATGCACCAAACTAGAGTTAAAAAAAAAAAAAGAAAGGARATCTGTTTTCCCATAATTTGTTTTCTCATTTGGAAGAACAAAAAAATTATCATGAAAATCTCTATAAAGTTTTACAGCCTAGCACAGATTTCAGTGTTTGCATTTGCATCTCCTGGCTCTGCTCTTCTCATGTTCATTTGTTCTTCATTCAGCAAATATATGTTGGGTCTGACTGAGTGCCTGACAAATATTAGGGAGGCAGCAGTGAATACACAGGGCAAAACTTCTGTCCCATTTTACAGGTGAGATGACTGAGGCTCACAGAATCCTAGTGCTTTGTCCAAAGTCACATTCCTAACCAATAGTGGACCTACAACTAAACTCAGACCTTCTACATCCAAAGTCTGTTTTCCCTACTACTTCCCAACCTTGTATCCTGTTGGTATTTTTCATATACATTGTGTAACTGCAAAAAAATAAGGATTTTTTTGTTTTCTGGGCTTGGGATTTTATTATCTGTGGCCAGTCAACCATTCCAGCCACAAAGTTCCAGCCACAAATGTGGCTCTATTCTTGCTGAAGATGTGGACACTCCCCAGCAATGAAACCAGGCTGGTCTTGTAACCCAGAATCCCCGCAAATCCACTGAGGATCATTAGTCCCTGAAAGAAAAACACAAGCCCCTGCTCAGATAAGTCTGCTACACCATGAACCAATCTGAAAGGCATTTATAATAACTGGTTTCCCTCAAAAGGCAGGTGTCCTTCTGAGGGGTTCACCTATGGGCCGTTCCAGCTCTAGTGTGACAATATGTCACCTGAATCATATTGTCAGAGTCAAACCTGGCTGAGAGCAAAACCAGTCAGTGAAGAGAATTTTAGAGAATTTTTTGGAGCATACGATAACCTTGGGGATGGTGATTTGGATCCAGAAGCTTGGGAGGTTTGGAAAGTCCAAAGTGTAGGGTGGAGAGAAGCAGTATGGGAAGAGCTCAGAATGAAAGGAGGGGAGGGAGCCATATGCCTTGGGGTCTCAGCTCTGTATATCTGCAGGCAGGGCTGATGTGGTTGCCAAGGCTAACCTAGGATGCCCGGGTTTCCAATAACAAAAAGGTAACCCCCGAAGCTGAGATTTGAAAGATCCAAATGACACAGTCTTAGCCAATCTAATTTAGCCTCTCAATGGTAGTGCACTGAGAGAAGACAATGAAACAAAGAAAGCTCAGAAAGAAAAAGAGGGAGGGGAGACACCCCCCATGACCCAGGGTTCTTAAATTACCTTCTCTAACCCTTTTGGTTTACCAAGCCTATATCTTTGATTGTTAGTCTATAAGGACCTCTCAGTGCTATACTGGTCTGACAACTACATCTTTAAAAATAATAAGCCCAGATTTATGGTATTTGCAGAATTCTTTGGTATTTATATACCCTCTGTGGCCCTTTTCAAGACAATAGTGGCATCACAGATCATGGAGTTGGGCAGAGAGACCCACGATCAGCTCTCCTTGCCTCGAGCACACTCTAAGACTCTACATCTTACCCTGTCTCAAAATGGCAAGGCACCTCTCCAAGTATTCTTTCTCTACCAGTTCTTCCTATCAACGAAGCTTTGACGACTACTAGCTTCCAGTAAAATGGCTTCCAAAGGTCAGAACCAATACACTGAAGTCTATCAGGTATCACTGCATCAGTGATCAAGGCACAAGCTGACCCAAGGGAATATGAATATGATGGAATTTGCCTTCTCCACAAAGCTAATTAAATGACTTTTCCTGTCCCTCAATCATTCAAACTCTGAGTTTTGTAATCTTTTTCCAACTCTCAAACTTGCAAGGTAGTTGGTACATGATAAGAAGGAAGAAGAGTTCAGGCACAGTGTCGCACGCCTGTTATCCCAGCAGCTCTGCTCGGGAGACTGAGGCAGGAGGATGGMAAGTTCAAAGCCAGCTGCAGTAATGACCAGGCTCTAAGCAACTCAGTGAGACCTTGTCTCTAAATAAAAACAAAATAGGGCTAGGGATGTGGCTCAGTGGCTCAAGCACCCCTGAGATCAATCCCCAGTACCCTACCCGCAAAAAGTCCACTACTCTGACACTATCTCCCAAAAACGTCTCTCTAACATTTTTAGCACTGGGAGGAGTCAGCTAAGACCTCCTTGGTGTTACTACCCCCAAACCTGAGAGTAAGTAATTATGCTTCCTGCTGACAAAATGCACAATGTTGAGCATGCCCAATTACAGTGAAACATCGAAATGTGAATAAGAAAAAAAATAACCTATGACAGTTCTACAGTCAGGGTAGAAGACTGCAGCCCGTTTAACCAGGGAAGATAAAAATGAATGTCTTCCGGAAGGGCCTTAATCTTCTACAAGGTCTTTTCAATTAATTTAACCATGAATAATTTCCTTTTTGAATTACTTGAAATTTTCCATTTTAAATATCAGAAGGCTATTTCTCAACCCATTTCTGCAATTAGATTAAGCCCTGAACTTCACGCTGGGAAACAGAATTCCTTTCTATTCGTTTCCTGACAACACAAAGTCCTGGGTCCTAAGGAGAGTTAAAGCAAGTATCTGAGACTTTAGAGACAAGAGAGTTGGTTCAATTCAACCCACTCCTGTTTCCTAAAGAATAATGTCCAAATATCTTAGCAGAACATTCCAGATGCTTCAAAATAGAACCTAAATGCCCTGTGTACCCCACAGACCAGCGGAGTCCTCACAAGATACCTCCAAGACATCAGTGATAGGGGAGAAAACAAGTCACAGTCCATCAGCAGGGAGGGTGGTAGGAGCCCTAATTCTGGGACCAAGTTGTAGGTGGAAGGTGGGCCCATGGAACCAAGTGTTCAGAACTGAGAGATCAACCCAAGAAAAAACAGCTGGAATCAAAAAGAAGGAGAACCCAGAACACYGCAGAGTGGTTGAAGCTGGCCTTTAGGGACCCTGTGAGGGTGGCTGGGCTTGTTTATGGAGGGCGGGAGGAGGAAGAGATAGAAACCTGATCCCCAGCCTCATCTACAAGAGGAAGCGTGCCCATCAACCTGTGTTCCGCCCCTTCATGCCTCTGTGCCTCTGTGCAGGCAGTTCTTCTACCTAGAGTGCCATTACTGCTTTTTGTACCGAATAAACTCTCACTTCTCCCACAGCGCTCACCTCTCCTCTGCAAAGTTCTTCCCTGTATCACCACATCTGTGCCACCTCTTTCTTGTACACACACCTCACCCCTAGTACTGAACAAGCACAATATTTGATATGCAGTAGGTGCTTAACAAGTTTTTGTTGAGCGAATGAAAAGTTAAAAATAGTTGGGTGGGGGGTTGTGGCTCAGTGATACAGCCCTTGCCTAGCATGTAGAAGGCCCTGGGTTTGATCCTCAGCACCACATAAAAATAAATAAATAAAATAAAGATTAAAAGAAAAAGAATAGTTTACACTAAATTCAATAGTTTCATATGGTGTTAGAAAGTTCTACTGATATTGGCAATAGTTTAAAAAATAAGGCCATCGGATCAGAAGTGCTTGGCTTTCCCCCTGAGTCATCTAAGTCAGAGAAAGACAGAAGGAAGGGAGGAAAAAAAGAGTCCTTTGATAGACACAATCCTTGTCTCATATTCCTGAATCAAGAGGAGAATAGATATTTTCAGCATCTAAAGGAATGAAATTTAACAGCTGCAGATTMTTTGGTAGTGAATTCAAAGGTTTAACAACTGATATTCAAAAAATCATAATGGTCAGTGGAACACCTGAAAAACACCTGAGAACCAATTGCTGTAGGCAGTCTTCTAGGGCTTTTCATACTGAGGATCAGACGTACCTGACAGATTCAGGGTCCACCTGAAGATTCTGATATAAAAGGTTCGGGTCAAGGCATCTTTGCCCCAAAACTCCCCCCCCAAGCTATTGTAATAGTGAATGTAGTTATTATAATAGTGAATGAAGGCATTGAATGGTCGCCTCTAAGCCACTGATGATGTCACTTGTGGTATACACAGCTGAACATTAAAGGAGATGGGGTAGCTGTCTGCTTGGTAGGTCAGAGAGAGCCCTCATTAATAATAATTAAGGGCTGGGGATTTAGCTTGGTGGGTAGGGTGCTTGCCTGGTATGCTCAAGGCCCTATCCCCAGCATCAATAATAATGATAATAATGATAATAATAATAATAATAATAATAATAATTAGTAATAATAATAATTAGTAATAATAATAGTTAAGCCTACCATGTACTTACCTGGATCATCTCATGTGATCCTCCCAACAAGCGTGTAAAGGTAGGGACTGGTATTATTCCCACTGCACAATTATAGGAACGGGAACTTAGAGAGGCTAAGTAGCTTATACAGATACTAGGTGACAGAAGTGGGATTCCAAATCCTGACCAGTTATTCCAGAGACTGTGTTCTTAGCTACTGTGCAATGCTGTCTTTTTGCTAAAGTATTTGGGGGAAAAAAAAGTACCTCCCTAAAACACAATGTCTTAATAAAAGCTGCTTCAATCTATATCACTTCTGGACCATTTTGTCCAATAATGCATAGGAGCTGGGTTTTTTAATAAATCTTGGGCATTACACACACACACACACACACACACACACACACACACACACGGGTGTCTCTGTCTTTTGTTCATCTCTGTATCCCGATATCCAAATAGCACAATATTTGGCCCATTACACTCTCAGTAACTATTTGATGAATTTAAAAACACAATTCTGCAACCGTAATAACCACCATGTGACTATACCAGGCACTCCACTTAATCAAAGCTCCTGTGCTATGCAGCTCACATTGAAACAGACTGAAAACTGTGACTTAGCAACCCATGTGGAGGACACGGCCAGCGTGAACACACTGGGATACACATGCTTTCTCTCTGTGACTGTATCTTGAACAAACCTGGAAGGATCTGGGGTCCCAGTGAAGTAGTGAATGCACGGYGAGCTTCTGTTCTGAGGCAGGACAGACACTATACTGGCTGTGGTGAGGAAAGATTCAGAGTCTATGCAGACTCCACTGGCTTTGTCCCGTAAGATGTCAATCATTGTCTGTACAGTGATGCTTTCTGAAAAAGAGAGAGATGGATAGCGGGGATATAACTGTGGCACRTTGTTAACCAAAACCCATTCACTCCTTTCTTTTTTACATTAATAAGCCCCTGAAATTATACGTGGGAACATAACCACTCAATGACAGAATGCATTTCCCTGCTTTCTTTGTGACTAAGTCTTTTCTTTTGTGACTAAGTCACTAATTGTGGTCAATTCTGACCAATGGGAGGTCAGTAGAAATGGTATGTGCAACTTCCTGGTCACATCCACATCCTTGCCTTTCATTTTCCTCCCTTCCTGCTTGCTGGGAGATGCCAACAATCAGACCACAAATGGAGGTCCAGCCCTAAACTATCCATATACATCTGGACTATCACATGGGAAAGGAAGAACTTCCGTGTTCTTCAAGCCACACTAATTTGGAGTCTCTCTGTTACAGCACTTAGCTATATCTCAACTAGTACAATAACTCAATATATATCCATTAGGAAGTGTATGCAGTCTGGAAACAAGACTCCCAAGCTAGTGCTGTTTGGGATCAATACTAAATTTGGAGAATGACCACCCTACAGTCAAAAATGTACACACAGAGAGGCATTTAGAATATTTGGAGGCTTTAAGATTATTGTCTCTGAATTCAGATGAATGAATAAACAAATCCTTGAGCCAGGCAAGGTGGTCGATGCCTATAATCCCAGTAGCTCAGGAGGCTGAGACAGGAGGATCGTGTGTTCAAAGCCAGACTTAGCTACTTAGCAAGGCCCTAAGCAACTTAGCAAGACCTTGTCTCTACATAAAATATAAGAATGGGGCTTATATTTTATGTGGCTTAGTGGTTAAGCATCCCTGGGTTCTATCCCCGGTACAAAAACAAAAAAAAATCTTTGTATGGGATCCCACATCTACAGGCTCCTCTCTGGTTATAATTCATTAAAAGGCTGTTCCAGTCTGTGTTCACAAAGACAGAATCAAAACATCACACAGGGAGAGAATTTGCTAGCACAATGCATAACCTCTTTATAAATCTCTATAACAAGTCACAACTAAAAATATTTAAAATGTCTTTGACTTTTTTTAACTATCCAGTGTTCAAATTTTCTTACTTTCTCAAAAATTAGGTATTGATTTGGAGTTTTTCATTTGTTTGTTGTGAGGGATTGCAGGGCTGGAGATGGAACCCGGGGCCCTGAGAATGAACGCTCAGCATGGGCTCTACCACTATACTACATCTCCAGYCCTGGTGTAGGATTTGAATCAGAATCCAACGGGTTGGCAATATCTCTTGAATATTTTAATCTCTGCCTCTTGATTTGTCTTCTTGCACCTTATTTGTCATAGAAATCAGGTCATTCTTCCTATAGAGTTTCACACAAGCTGGACTTGCACGTGGCATCCCCCTGGAGGTACTGAAGATGTTCCTCTCTCCTGTGCATTTCCTATAACCCAGAGGTTTCCTATAACCAGAAGTTTCATCAGATTTAAGGATACTGTTATGCTAAGAACTACTGAACAACTTTCATCAAGCTAGTTTTGATTTCATTAAAAATCTTTAGAAGTTCTTTTTCAAATTCTCATTTTAAAATGAATACTTTCTTACCTTCCTATCCAGAATCTATGACTTAAGTTTTACAGCAAAAGCCCTAAAGTATTCTTCTAGATGAGAGAAAAGGAAACTTGGACCAGGTAGAGATTATTTTAGGCCTATGGACCATATGGTCTCATTTTAACTTCCCTGTTGCAATGGCTCAAATTCACCAGTGCAGCATGAAGGCAGACATAAACAACACATAAATAACAGGYGTGTGCTACAGCTTGGATTCTGAAMATCCCAGAAAGGCCCTTGTGTTGACAGCTTGGTTCCCCCCTGCAGTGCTACTGGGAGGTGGTGGACCTTTAGGAGGTGGGGCTTAGTAGAAGGAAGTTAGATCCTTGAGGGTGTGCCCTTGAAGAGGATATTGAGATCCTGGCCCCTCCCYGTCACCCCTCCCAAACAAGCATTTCCTAGCTGCCTTGTGAGGTGAGCCTTGTCTTTGCCATGTGCTCTCATGTTGATGTGCTACCATATCACACGCCCAAAAGCAATGGAGCCAACCAACCATGGACTTAAACCTCTGAAACTATGAGCCAAAATATATCTTTCCTCCTTATAAGTTGTTTATCTCAGGTATTTTGTCACAGTGACAAAAAGATGACCAACAGAGTGTGTCTGTTCCAATTAAATTTTATTTACAAAACGGGCAGCTGCTGCAGGATGTAATTTGCTGACTCTAGTTCTAATGGATCAAAAGTTTAATTTATACCATGCTTGTAATTCYAGCAGCTCAAGAGGTTAAGGCAAGAGGATTATGAGTTCAAAGCCAGCCTCAGCAAAAATCGAGACATTAGGGCTGGGGTTGTGGCTCAGCAGTAGAGCACTCGCCTACCATGTGCGAGGCCCTGGGTTCAATCCTCAGCACCACATAAAAATAAATAAATAAAGATATTGTGTCCGAATTACAACTAAAAAAAA